ATCTGCAATGGTTTTTGCAGACCAATCTGTCCTGTTCATAGTCTGAGAGGGCAGGAGGTCTGTGAGGATAAAGATAAAGTGCCTGGATGAGAAGACTTTACAGTGATGTAATGTAAACATTCAGAAGAAAAATTAATAATACTGCTTCGAAATGAAAGTGGTATTATGAATAAAATGATTGAAATTAAAAAAGAGAAATTACTCCCCATAAAGGCAAGGAGTGCATACAACATTCATACACTAGCCAGTGATCCTATCCTGCCACATTCATATAAAACTATTTTGTCTTTTAGTTGTTTTTTTGCTCCCTTCATCATGCACTATTCACCACTCTGAAACTGTGTAAACAGATTTTGGAGGGGTTATACCAAACTTGCAAAAAAAATGTGAAAGAAAATAATGTTTGGATTTTGCCTTCTTTGGGCAAAAGGGGAGTGTGCAAAGCAGATTAGGGGGAAACAAAGGGAAATGGGGGAGACAAAGGGAAACCGTTAATGCAGAAACCTCTGTAGCAACAGACCTTTAAAAAGACAGAAGAGTTGCCACCATCCTGATATACTGCTCTAGTTTGAGGGGCACTATCAACTGAAACCATTGTCTAACTATACGTGAACACGTTTTGCTATCTTCTCATCCAACTGTTGGTTCCCGGAAGGGCAGATTGGAGCTTTTCACCAACCTTCCCACACCCATCATGACACTGCCCAGCCCAGGAAGCATTTTCTTGCTCCTTTTGGAAAATCCAGGGGTGTAGAAGACACTGGCATTTACGAAAGCAAAGGTTTTTCCTCCACCACCACCTCCTCCTCTTAACTATTTACGAATTTCAGCAAGGATTGTTTTCCTTTTGCGTCAGTGAACCAGCTAAATTTCAGATGGCTCATACCTTTTTTGCTTAAATGATTAAGAAATCTTTCCAGCTTTGGATACTTGCACTTTCAGGGGTCACCAAATGTACCTTCCTCTCAACTGTTCTTACTCCTGGTTTCCCCCTAGCTGCACCCCTTTCTGAGAAGCATCACATTTAACAACAGTGCTGGGGAAAAGGTTTCCTTTGACCAAAACAGGAAAATCTTGGATTCACTTGACCTTATCAACTGGATCACATTCCCAAACACATCCTTTCAGAAACGTAAAATACGAAAGATGGACCCCACGGCTGCTGGGGACCACGTGCTCACTATTGAGGAAGATGCCCTTGTATGGCCTAGCAGATTTAATCAGGTAGGATCCTTTCACACTATGGGATGTATCTTGAAGCCACTGAAAATGGCTAACTCTTCAGACCATATGTTCTCTCTATGTTGTGCTACATGATTCAGCTCTATGGATTTCAGGCTCATTTTATCTGCTTGTAAAGGCTCATTTAAATACAGTTGGCTGCTATAGTGTCAGACCTACACATCAATGGTTAGAATCTTTGCTTCTCTCTTGTCTTCTCTTGTCTTCTCTTGTCTTCTCTAGTCTACTTTTGTCCCTGACCCTGGCCTTCGCCTTTGTCTTCTGCTTTTTTTTTTTTTTTGAGTGTACCTTTAAATGTGAATTCAATTTAGATGTAAATCAAAAAGTAGATTAAAAGAAGGGAACATCTTTCTTTCACTTGCATTCTACAGTTAGCATGCCTAATTTCATAATTGCAAATCAACATGTCCAGAGATGTTAGTAACTGGACAGCATACAAATTTTATAAATAAATAAATATGAACACAAAATGCATATTCTGTAAAATTCATATATCTGTGAAATTTGCTGTGGAGTTCTCTGACAGAAAAAAACACATGAAAGGAATATCTTAAAGAAGGTGCACACAAACATATATATATATTTATGGAAACACTTCAAACTCATTAGGAAAATTCCTGTATTAGTAGAGCTAGCACACAAAAATGTGTTTGAGAAATGTAAAGGGAACTGAAAGCAGCTTTGCATAAGTGTGTTTAAAACTTTTTCAAACAAGAGGGTCAATTAAAATGGCACCTTGGGTGATAATGTCAAAATTGGGGAAAAGTGCAGCTTAACAGTGGAGAAATATTAAGGTTGGAGAATCAAATGAAGATTAATTGCATCATCTCTAGTATCATCATGAAGAATATTGTAGGGAAACTTCAAAGGAATGTGCAGTGATATGCGATAAGATGCTATTGTTTTCCCAAGACAACCCAAGATTCTTGGAGTGAAGTGTAAAAATGAAACGTGCAAATCATATTTGGCCCCAGGTACTAAGCACTCCACAGAATATGGCTCATCAACACATTACTTTTTGACTTAATACTATGGAAAGAGGGGATGCAAAGTGATTTTTAATGTTACACTGAGTTCTTCCATATGAGCTCCTACTGATAGAAAAACTATCTGCCTCTGTTCACTTAAAAGGTATTGACCATTCTAGCAGCAAGAAACATAACACATCTTGCCTCTCTTTTGTTTATGAACAGGCTCAACCAATTTCTCTTTGCAATGCCATTTGCCCTCCAGGATTTAGCAAAAAGACAAAAGAAGGGCAACCCTTCTGCTGTTATGATTGTCATCCATGCCCAGAAGGAAAGATCGCAAATGATGAGGGTAGGAGCCTCTGTAAATTGATTTTGACTAAATTGGATGCTTCTATTGGTTAGGACTTTTGCAGAAATTCCTTGGCATGCATTTAAACAGGTGTATTCATTGAACATGTTATTTTCACTTTTGGGAGAAAGCCAGAAAAGGATGAGCAAATAGGTTCTGACATGTGTACTGAGATGTGGGTGCTGTTCCACACAACATATTGCAGGAAAAACAGGAGGAGGCAAATGAGATTATGCAACATGGCCAAGAGTGACTCTGTGTGTATATGGGGGTGGGTGCCATATGACAAAGGTATCCAGCAGTCCAGTAGCCCTCATCCATGGGACTGTCTTCCTGAAACTTACAGATTTACTGAGCTCAAGATCAACTTCTAAGAAACGAAAATCGTCTTTAATTTTGCAGATATGGATGACTGTATTCGATGTCCAAAAGATCAGTATCCAAACCAAGAGAAGGATTCCTGTCTTCCAAAATTTATTAGCTTCCTAACATATGAAGAACCTTTGGGGACCGCTTTGGCTGTTTGCGCTTTGACTTTTTCTTTCATCACAGCATTGGTTTTGGGCCTCTTCATTAAGCACAAGGACACTCCCCTGGTCAAAGCCAACAACCAGAACCTCACCTACACTCTCCTTGTTTTCCTTCTGCTCTCCTTCCTGGTTGCTTTGCTATTTATTGGCAAGCCAAACAAGTTATCTTGCCTTCTTCGACAAAGTGCTTTTGGGCTCACATTTTCAGTGGCTGTGTCTTGTGTTTTAGCAAAGACCATCATTGTGGTTATCGCCTTCATGGCCACCATGCCTGGATCCAGAGTGAGGAAATGGGTAGGCCAGAAACTGGCAGCATTCCTAGTTTTCTCTGGTTTCTTTATTCAAGCCTGCATCTGCACTGTGTGGCTGGCAATATTTCCCCCATTTCCAAACTTGAATACAGATGCAACGGAGAGGGAAATGGTCCTGGAATGTAATGAAGGGTCAGTTGCCATGTTTTCTTGTGTCCTGGGCTTTTTAGGCTTCCTGGCTCTTGTCAGCTTCACAGTGGCTTTCCTAGCCAGACGTTTACCAGACACATTCAATGAAGCCAAGTTCATCACCTTCAGCATGCTGGCATTTTGCAGTGTCTGGCTGTCCTTTGTGCCTTCTTACATGAGCACAAAAGGAAAATACATGGTGGCTGTGGAGGTCTTCTCCATCCTGGCCTCTAACACTGGGCTCCTGGTTTGCATCTTTTTTCCCAAATGCTATATCATTGTGGTGAGGCCGGAATCGAACAACAGGAAGAATCTAGGAAGAAGAACCAAGTAGAGGTTCTCCAATCTGCATGGCCCTGATCTAAACATGCCTATCAATTTCTCATATTGAAACAAATAGATTAGTTTTCCTTTGCATTCTTTCTGAGGAAATGGCAGGTGGAAGTTTGTTAGTTACAGGGTACTTATTTCATTGGAGGCTCAATCACATGTAAGGATGATTATGATGATGAATTAAAAAAAAAAAAAACAAAGTGTGCCTCATATTTCCCTAAACTCCTTTGAGTAATGGAAAACTTTTATTTGGTGTCAGTTTCATCAGTATCTGATTAATTTCATGCCTTTATTTATATCTATGTGTGTATGTTATATTGGACAAGATGGACTTTTGTTCTGATCCAACTTGGCTTCTTTTCTCCTTGTATGGGAGAGTGGCTATAATAATTCAGTCCCAGTTGACTGTTGGGAACAAGGATGAACATTTAGAAATTGCATCACTAGTCCCCCACTTCCCCCATAAAACATGTGCAGATTCACATACTTTCAAGAATTGCAGATTGCAGAAAAATAGTCAGTTAAGTGCAAAATGGGGTGTGTTTGAGAATGTGTGAGTGACTGAGGAAGTGAGTGAGTGAGTGAGTGAGTGAGGTAAATTATGTCAGTGCTCTGGTCAGCTTGGGCTTTCTTATCTTTTTCAGGTCAATTATGGTGCCTCACGTTTGGTGAATGACAAAGTTAAGTTACTTTCATTCACCATATGTTCACAAAGATAGACCTTCAGTAGAAGGTTAGATTAGAAGTCAGCCTTCTGCATTTGTCATCAGTGGTGAGATTTGTCTTATACTATACCTGAGAATGATACCTCCTGGAGTAGAATGTGAAAATTCACACAGGATAAGGGGTAAAGTCTTTATTATGACTTCTCAAATGGAGTTTACAATACTTCTTTTTGAAAGAGACTGGAGCATTGATTTCTTCATGGTGATGCATCCTTTGTCATTCACTCAAGGGACGTCTTCAGCTCAGAAGAATCCTTGGGATGAGAAATCTCTGTTTTGACCAGGGAGAGCTCATCATATCTATCGAAGTGTGTTAACCTCTGTGTTTTAGCTCTTTGCTTACATGGCTTCACATCATAGAAGTGAGGGGCATCATGGAATCATAGAATTCAGGAATTGGAAGGGGCCATGAAGTCCATCGAGTCCCACCCCCTGCTGTTGCAGGAAAATGACTGAATCTATCACTCCAATCTGGTGGGAAGGGGATGAGGAAGGTACCAGACAATGGAGCAGCATCAGCTTGACATAGACTTATAAAGAAGCCTTAGCCAGAATTATATACAGAAAGATTTTGCGGGGAAGGAGAGGACAGAAGGCTTCCCTTCTCTCTGTTCTCTTCCCACCCTACAAAAGATGTCCATAATACTCTGATTTTAAGCATTGGTGCAGGGTTCAGAATGTCAGGCAAAAACAATGGTCAGTTCAAATTTGGCATGACTTTCTTTTTAGCTTTTTCTGGCCTTTTGACACCTTTTTGGGTGATTGCTCTGGTGTGTGAGTTGGATACTACTGGTTGGAGGGTTGTTTCCTGGTGTGCAACTCATGACTGAGAGCCAGTGACCAGACCTCTTCAGCACGAGGCTGCCATTTAATGTAGATGGACATGTAGAAGGAAGGGGATGTTTTCAGGCAATTTACACTGCTATCAATTTCAGAACAGCAACCATCATCTTACCCTTCTCATTTCACTTTTGCTTTCTTTCCTTTGGACTTTGCTGTTCATTGGGCAGCTGAGAAGATAACTGTTTTCCTTCAACAAGGAACTTTGGTATAATTTTCTCAGTGGCTGTTCCTTATGTTCTTGCCAAAACCATCATTGTGGTTGTAGCTCTTGTGGCCACCAGGCCTGCGTCATGAATGAGGAAGGGGCTGGGGAAAATTTGGCACCCCCTATTGTTTCTTCTTGTGTTCTTACTCAAGATACTATTTGGCTGGCCATTGCTCCCCCTTTTGAAGATTTTGACATGCATTCAGTGGATAAGGAAATAGTGCTGGAGTGTAGTGAAGGAGCAGCCAACATGTTCTATTGTGCCTTTAGTTTTATGGGATTATAGCAAGTTTCTCTGTGGTCTGGAACCTTCTGGATAGTGTTAATGAAGCCAAGGTTACTGTTTTCAACATGTTGGTGTTTTGCAGTGCCAGGAAGTCCTTTGTTCCAAAGTACCTGAGCACAAAATGGAAATATATGTTTCCTGTGGAGATCTTCCCCATCCTGGCCTCCAGTGCTAGTTTACTGGTTTGTATCTTTCCCCAAAATGCTACATCATGTTTTTCAAGTTTGAGCCAAACAATAGGGAACACTTATGAAGGAAGTATAATTAAAAATTGGAGTTATTTATGAATGTGATCTAGTGAAAAATATGCACCCATATAAATAGAATGAAAATTCAATCAATTGTAATTGGCTAGTTAATTGTTTTTAATGCCTTTTTATCATGATTTAACATAGCAACATCTTCAAGCAGAACATACTTTAACTCATCCAAAGAGTATTGGATTACACTGTTTTCTGTGAATCTCAGAAAATTCCACCACTGAACAGTGGGAAGCAAAGTCCAGGCAGATGCAAGACATTGTATTGTACAAGTCAATAGAAAGTATTCTGCTGTGGATATGTCTAAGTTTTCCTAAGATTTCCAGCGTGCTGCAAACCCCAGGAAAACTTCAGTGTTCCCCTGATCACGCAATGGAAGATGAAATAGAAGCAGTGAGATATTTCTTTGCTGCCTTCACTGTCTTCCAGTATTCTTGAGTTTAAGCGCTTACGAAGGCTTCACTGAACCCAATCGGGGTTTATACCCATCTCCACTAAGCCATCTCCTATATTGCTTCATTGCTCCATTTTCATGGAGCTGCAAATACATTCTATAGAGAGTATGCTCAAGAGCAATTGTGTCAAGAAACCAGGTTCTGCATGGATTCTAGATATTGACAGAATGTCTGGTCATATCAAATGGAAATATCCACAGCCTTCTGCAACCCCTCTGCATATCATATGTGCCTCTGCAAAGACTATCAAGATGGGCAGTGTAGCCTCCCATGCCATACATACTGGATGGAGGCTCTACATTGACCTGTAGGACTCTTTGCAGTAGCATTGTACACTTTCCATATGACTACACCTTCACATTTCCCAGTTGACCGACCACCCCACATATTGCTGTGAGGTGGGTGGAAAGAGAAGGAGCTGCAGTGAGGACACTCACAGCATGGCCTGGCATGAAGGAGGGGATGCGTGGTAGGCCAGTGTCCACACATGATGAAGTTGGCATAGGTTTAGAAGTCATGGTTGAAGGGGCCAGTGTGGGGCAGCAAATCATGCTGTTTGCAGCCATGGTGGGGATAGTTGGGGGCAGGACAGAAGCTTACACAGAAGCCTCCAGACAGAAGACTCCAGAGCAGAGACACCCTATTGGGACCATGCTGCTCCCAGTGATGCTTTGGAGGACCATCAGCAAGAGAGGGGTAGGGGAAGAGACAGATGTGTGTGATGTGAATAAGCAGTGCCACAGATTGGTGCAGACAGGTCAAGCTAGTAGCAACCACAAGAACTTATGAAATTTCACTCAGGTCTTAATTGTTTTGTTTTCTGCATTTGGAAAAAGTTAGAAAATGCCCTGACAATGAATGTACAGAAAGTTCTCACATATTCTGTCCTCATTGCAACATTAACCAGCACTTTAAGGATGCTTCATATTGCCTAATATGTGTGCTTAGGCTTCTTCTTGTTGTTAGTTGCGAAGTCATGTCCGACCCATCACAACCCCATGGACAACATTCCTCCAGGCCTTCCTGTCCTTTGCTGTCCCCCAGAGTCCACTTAAGCTCACACCAACTGCTTCATTGACTCCATCTAGCCACCTCATTCTCTGCCGTCCCCTTCTTCTTTTGCCGTCAATTGTTCCCAGAATTAGGCCCTTCTCCATTGAGTCCTTCCATTTCATTAGGTGGTCAAAGTATCTGAGTTTCATCTTCATTATCTGGCCTTCTAAATAGCAGTCAGGGATGATCTTCTCCAGAACTGACTGGTTGGATCCCTTTGCAGTCCAAGGGACTCTCAGAAGTCTTCTCCAGCACCACAATTCAAAGGTTTCAATTCTTTGGCACTTCCTTTATGGTCCAACTTTCACAGCCATACATTGCAACTGAGAAAACCTTAGCCTTGACTATACGCACTTTTGTTGGCAGGGTGATGTCTCTGCTTTTTAGTATGCTGTCCAAATTTGCCATAGCTTTCCTCCCAAGAACCAAGCGTTTTTTAATTTCTTGGCTGCAGTCACCATCTGCCGTGATCTTGGAGCCAGAAAAATAAAATCTGTCACTTCCTCCATTTCTTCCCCATCTATTTGTGAGGATGTGATAGGACCTAATGCCATGATCTTGGTTTTCTTAATGTTGAGTTTCAAGCCAACTTTGGCACTCTCCTCCTTCACCTGCATCAAGGGGCTCTTTAGTTCCTCTTCACTTTCTGCCATGACAGTGGTATCATCTGCATAT